ATTCTATGATTCTACAATTCTATGATTCTCAACTTTTGAGAGGTGCCAAACCTCCAAAACATAGGCTGGATTAGGACTCTTGAAGGATTTCATGTTGCTGTCCACTGACATCAAACAAAACTAACTCAGGATTGCTCTGCAGGAGCTTGGAGAGACTGGGAACCCAAACAATGACAGGACCAAAGGCTGAATCTCACATTAACTCAGCAGCCTCAAGCAAGCTCCTCTCTCCTTCCACCTCCATGGCTCAGCATCTTTCTTCTGCCTCCACAACAGCAACCGCTCTCACTACAAACAGCTACTAGGAGGTGCCCATCACATGGGACCAGTCTTCCCACAAAGTCCTTATTTTGGCTCTCCCCCAGCTGGGAGGGCTCTTCCACTACCGGCTGACATTTCTGGACATTTCTATCCCCTCAGCATCTGCTACCTTCTTCCCGCTCCAATCCTCATTTTCTTCACATCACACCTTCACACCAGTTCACCCCATCGTTTGGAATTCCTCGCCAACAGGTTTGCTCAGCAGGTGACTCTTCTCCTCCATAGTCCTTTGGATGAAAAATTAACACCATCTGGGCATCTTTACAAATGCATGCCTTCTGCCGAAACCTAATGTTAACCAAACCAAACAGCTACTTCCCTTGTTTTAAGGGCCTCCTCTCTCCTCTCTGCTGGAAGATTCTGCCTCCGTTAAATCCCTACATGTAGTTTTATGACTATAGTTTTATTTATTATTTTTTTTTCAGAAGTATTACGGTGTTTTTCCGAGACTGTTCAAGGACAGTATTACTCAAGACCTTGAGTAGCCTGAGGGGAGTAAATGCAGACTTGCTTCATAAATAAAAATTATTTTCTTATTAGAAGTGGAATTTGAGCTGCATCAATAACTTGATTATTTGATGCCTAGATCTGTTCTTGAATATTTTTCTGCCTCACAGCCACCAAAAGCACTCAAAAACCTCACTAATGACTTATGGAACATAATAGAAAGTAATTTCCAAACAGTTAGCCTAATTGGTTGTAATCTGACATTTTGCTACAAGCAAAATATCAAAAGTTTAAAGCCAAAACACATCCCCCACAAAGTAGAAGAACAGAAGCAAAGTGAGGTCATTTCAAAAGAAAGAGAAACTTGAATCACCCTTCTCTAAAAGTATATTCTAATTCTTTGTTTTAAGAAGTTGGAGGGAGATATTTGAGTGAACAGCCTGCATTTTCCCCACTCTGAGACAGCCTGCAGCAAAGCCTTTTAGGAATTCTGCAAGTAGCTTTGAAAAGTGCCTTTAAAACTATAATTCTGTACAGGATTACTTCTGAGTGAAATGAAGTCAGTAATACACTACTTCATTCTTCTTCTGATTCATCAGCAGGTTTTCATTAGCAAATGTACGAGCCAAAAGTGACGTACAGCTTTGAATGATTTATGGCGATAGTCACATCTGATGTGACAGACAAAACTGGAGGAAAACGGAAGATGACTGAAGTGACAGCTAAGCGAGGTTTTAAAGTTCTACTTCAGGATAGGACACTTTTAAAAGATCTGAGGTGAAACAAAGATTTTAAAAGCTGAAGGGAAATTAATTGCTAAATTTACAATCTGTGTCAGAATTAACCGTAAGTTAATACATCTAGCCTAAGAGTGAGATCTAGCTACATTCCTTAGTGTGGATCTTTTCCTTTGAAAAGCTCTGATATCTAGAGGAGGAAAGTACCACCCATAAATATTAGCTCTCAACTCTTGGACTACCCAACAAATGGCTTTTCCCGTCTACTGACACCCGGAGCTTGACCATTTCACAGCAGCGACATCCTGCACTTCCATGCGCCAGCAATACGACAGCTAAACCCACAGGAGGAAACTCATTTTGAATTCTTTCTTTAAGTCTCTAAAAGAAAATGTCCAATATTTTCAGTTTTGCATTACTGCCTTTAAGGTAGGTATTAACAAAAATGTGCTTTGCTTATTGAACCATAATCTCTGTCATTACGTATGATTATGGTTATTAAACATCTTTCGTAGGTGACTGGAATACGCAATAAGAATGAAGGCAAGTTGAATGAGTGTCAGAAGTGAAAAACAAGAGAAAAATCACTTCTTTCAAAATCTCAACAGAATTATCAGACTTGCAATAAAAAGAAAAAGGAGATTGGCTTACTTGCCTGTAAGGGGTGGGACGAACAATATATTGTGCACTCTCCTACGTAGGACAACTGTTCTTTGGCAACAGGTCCAAGATGACAAGGAGTAAATCACAGGCCTCTTGCGAATATATTTCTCAAACCCTAGAGATACTGTATGCCTAGAATGATTGTGGTTAATCTATCAACAGGCGTTGTTTCTGGCAATGTCTCACCCTCTATACTTGCCAGTGTCATCTCTCCTCTCCAGTACTCAGCAGAAAAAGGTATCTGGTGTAGAGAACATGCTGTTTGCTGGTAAAGCACCTCCAACAGATTATACTGCATTGTATCTACTCAAGCCTACAGATTATAAATTATGTAGGACAAGAACTATGAGCTCTCTCTGGGTACATGTTCTACTTCACGAAACTTCATTTATTTATGAAGCAATAAAAAAAAGAGAAATGTACAATACAGGAAAAGAATATGAGTTTAAAATCAAACATCACAAATAACTCCATTTTCTCAAGCCATGGTCTACACAATATCACAAGGAAATCCATGAAGTCCCTGCAGTTTATTAGTTTTTCTTAACAGACGTATGGTATGGCCACACAAGTGAGGAAATGAGCTAGATGTTTCAACTTTCAGTGTTCCAAGGGTGTTCAAGCAAACTGGTCAAGACACACGCTACTCAAGAGCATTCCAGAAAGCATACAGCGAGCAGCCACACTCAGCTTCACATCGAAGCTTTCCTCTTACCTGTTGGTATCCCTGGCCACATCCTCGTACACGCTCTGCACTCCGATCTCCAGCCTCGTACAGCCGTAGGATAACATGTCACTTAAATGCCGCTTCAGGCAGTAATCTGGTCTGGTCTCTATCGTTATCCCAACGCATTTTGTCAGGCTTCGTTCTGAATACCTGCAAGAAACTATCCTCTATTAAGATTGTGAAGATGTCACAGGTAACTTCAGAAGAGTTTCCAACATCTTCCAGGTGAGAGTTTCTGTGTCACTACCAGAATTAAAATCCAGGTTAAAATCGTCAAGTATCCCAGCAGCCAGAGTGCCCTCAACCTTATGGCAATGCACGGATGAAATGATACACAAATATGCACGCTAATAAAAGTCTGGGGTTTGCCTTGTATGAAAAAGAACTGGACTGTGGCAGCCTTGCAGGGCTTTTTTTAAGCAGTACTTGTTAGGAAGATGCTCCCAGACCAGACTGAGCGTTCAGTACTCATTGTCTGGAAACAAAGTCTGGGCAAAAGGGAAAGTCAGAGTAGGCAATTAGAACAGTGTGCGGTTTTGGGGACAAACCAAAGGCAACCTGAGCACTTGCTCCCATTCAGACACTGATGATAATACAGGACCTCAAGTTAGGGAGAGTTTGGTATAGTCAGTACATTTTCATTTGATTCCCAGGGTGTACAGATAAATTGCAGGGACTGGGACAAGATCCGGCCGCATTCTCACAGGAAAATGTACAAGATTGTCCATGAAAAATTCCGCAAATCACTTCCCTTTGTGAGCAAGCAGTATTCTCACAACTTACTAACGCTGAAACAAAATTCATTGTTACCCTTTTTCCCTCTCCTCTCCCATTTATCACTGGAGGTCTAACAAAGACTATTTATTCCAGCTAGTAGAGAAATCCACTACTGATGACAAATGGTAAGTTACTGACCTACAAGAGAGTAAAACAAAAGAAAAAAGGAATTCAAAGCAGTCTTGAACCAAAGTTCACAAAAGGAAACCATCGATCAACGTGATCTCCAACACTACCAGCAAGGATAATATTCCTTTCCATACAGGAATCACTTCACTTGACTATCTTCCCGGCAGAACATGGTGGTTGTATAAAAGAAGACTGCAGCACAGGAGAAAAGATTCACAGCAAGAAGAAGGAAACTTCTTCTTTTGAAACCATCTGAAACTGCAGAGATAATCTGGATAACTCCCAAACCAGGATGCAGGCAGGATTAACAGCCACTGTTTGAGAGGAATATCGGTCTCTTTAATGGTCCCAAATGAAGATGATCTCAGTATTAATATTAAATGTTGCTGAAAAGAGGACACCTTGAGTAAGAGAGAGTTGTTATGCTGATACCTGAAAAAAATATTGCACACCGAAATCACAAGGATGACTAACTTCAGCTCTTTATTAGGTATTCTATAAAGATTCATCATCTAATTTCTGGCTCCGGATAGCTGGAAACTTCTGAATCAAAACAAAGCTCCAGAGCCTACCTTAGAGTACGACAGAGGTCCAATTTGACCAAAAAAACCCAAAACCAAAAACTCCCCTCAATCCCCACAACAAAACCCAGCAAAAACCCCCAAGTGGGCTCAGACTCACTAGCAAAAATCTTAACTCCCTTCAAACCATTAAAGTCTAAAACATACAAAGACCAAGATATTTGGGGGATAGACTGTAATGGATGTCAAAATAAGCATCTTAGGAAAAAAACCAACAACAAACAACAAAAAAACCCCACGTAAAACGTTTCAGAGTTTGTGGCTCACTAATCTGACAGACTAACAGAATAATTGTTTATCACGTCAGGGAAAACACTGCCAACGTGTGATTCATTAACATCAGACTGAAAAACGCCCACTTTTAAAGACATGATTTGCAAGAATTAGAGAGAGAAATTTTAGCTAAGGAGGGGGGGGGGATAGTCACCAGATAACTCACCCATTGTGCCAGAGGGTACGTGCTGATATTAAGCACCTGCAATCATGTTAGAAATACTGAAGGGAGACAAAAATAATTATATCCCTGTCCCCAAAGCAAATTTATGGCCAAGATATAAAATGCTGAATATAACGAACACCAACAGACTCTAAATTATAACATCTACTAAGGGCACCAACAGGATTTCAGTACGGTGTAATGGCTGGTAAAATTGTCTTGCCAAAATCTATGCCGAAAAGAGAATTGAGTCTTAACAATAACTAGAAAAGCAAAACAAAGACGAATCCAAACCAGGTAAAGTAACAAAGACAGCATTTCCAAGACAACTCACGAGCCTCTTCAGATCACCATCCTCTGTAGAAGACAGACATTTTCAATCTGAGCCACAAGTCCTCCAGCTCTCCCCGGCAGTCCCAAAGACTTGTGGTGAGCAAACAGAACACAGTCTCTTACTCAGTTTTATCAACATAAAATGAAAGCTTGAATTGCATTGTCCATATTTAATAGAGTACAGATTCCTTTCCACTAATGGGAAAAGAGAAAGAAGGGTGTGACAGCCAACCTTCTACAGAAGGTGATTCTGGCAACACATCTCCATCATTTCCTGAAGGAAGAAAGAGAAATTTGACTTTTCTTCTGTCTTTTCTCAACTTTCAAACTTTAAACACTCATTTGGATAATCATCATTTTTCCTATTTGCAAAATGAGTAAGTCCATTTCATTTGAAACTAATACTAAAACTAAGCGCAGGCACAAATTGTAAGACTATAAGTTAAGAAGCCAAACACAGAAGTGGACATGAATTAAAAGCTTTACTAGATTTACATAACCTGCCATTTTATAGAAGCAGTTATCAAACAGTACCCATAAAAGCTGTACCAATTATTATTATGCAGCATGAAACTGCATTATACAACTAAGTCAAATTTTTAATTTTTTAAAAAGAAATCTGTCCATGTTTACCATTTAGTTTCAACATTTTCCTACAGAAAGGCAGTACCTCCTTGGCTGACTGAGTCAATGGTGAGCTATAGGAGAGAGCTCGGAGACCTGAAAAGGGCAGAAAATACTATTTAAAAGGTTATCTCCCAAATACTGGATTTACATCAAGACAGACACTGATTTTTATTATTTTTTTTAAAATCAAATTGGCAAGATCTTTTATTTTAAAGCACAGTCAGGACCTGAGACAGGTACCTACCAGCCAGCAGAGAAAAAGAAAAGACAGATATATGCTTAAGACTAACACTAATTTTAGTGGAGAAAGCTTTTGGGTTTATTATTTGTTTAATTTTTAAAGAAGTGTATCTTTGAAATCTGATCCCGATGTGCAGATCAGATCACAGATCTTTTAAATTATTATTATTAATCAGTGATTTATGTAACAACTTATAAAAGATTGGCTATTTAAAGACTGACTTTGCTTCTCCTACATCTCCCACTTCCAGTACCCGGGTTTCATTGGAACTGCCTGCTGGAAACATGGTGGTTTCCCACATTTCTAGCAGGTTGGGCAGACACATTTTTTGCCCTTGCAAACCCATGCTGAATCCCCCCAGTCACCTTCCCGACCATGGAAGCAACTTCCACAAAGACATGCTCCATAATGTTCTCGGGGACCAAGGCAAGGTTTACCAGGCTGTAGTTCTCCTTCTCACTCTCTTAAAGACAGACACGACATTTCCAGTCACTGGGGACCTCTCGGTTGTCACAACCTCTCCAAGGTGAGATGGAGCTGCCTCACCCATCCCCTTCCACAGGCTTGCATGTGTCCGATTTGCCGATGGTGTCCAGTGCAAACCTCTGCCATAGGCACCACCTCTCACCCCAAACCACCACCCAGCAAGAGCAGATCTTGCAAATAAAGACTGAGGCAAAGAAAGACTGCATACCTCAGCTTTATCGTGTGTCTTTCATCACAGAGTTGCCTGCCTCATCCAGCAGCAGATCCACATTTTCATTTGTCTTCATTTGCTGACAACGTAGCTATGGAAGCTCTTCTTGTTGCGCTATAATCCCTTGGAGTTTCAACTCCAGCTAAACTTTCCTAATGTGCCTTCTGCCTGCCTGTATCCCTCCTGGGTATTCCATACCTCCTTTCACCCTCTGCACACAGTCTTTTTTCCATGTTTGAGCTTCATCAGGACTTCTCCATTAAGCAGTTAAGCTAGGCTCGTGACTTGTCATGCCTGCTTGGTTTTCTGCACATCAGGATGCACTGTCTTCGCAATTTCAGGAGATTGTCCTGGAAGATCAGTTAAGTTCACCCCGGGTTATTCACCCTTCAAGGCACCCTCCCTGCCTTTCGGTTCCCTGGAAAGGCTCAAGTCTGTTGTCCTGAATTCCGATGTCTTTATTCTATTGCTCACATCCCTCAGGATCTTGAGCTCTAATATCTCAGAGTCACTGTAGCCAAGACCACATCCCTCCCTCAACCAGCTCTTTGCAAGTTGCAGATCCAAAAAAGCACCTCTCCTAGGCACTGGATGAGCCAACTACCTCAAAATCTTATCATAACGCACTCCAGAAATCTCCTAAATTAGTTGTGTTCCACCATGTCGCCATTCTAGCAGGTATCAAGGTGTCAGGCTAGATTCAAGGAGTTTTGTTCATTAAGTGCATATATTCTAATGCTTACCTAATTTTCATACCTTTTCTTAGCACTATCTCCAGTTTTTAAGCGTTCTTCTTGTTGCCTTTGATACCAAAAACAGCCACAGAACTTTGCAGACACACCAGTACTATATCCAGATGGAATATGATTTGCCTATTCCTATCCAATTTTCCACTATTTATACAGTCAAGGGTAATTTGGCTGCTGAATCATACAGAAAGCTCATGATAATGTGACTTAACTCCTAAATATTTTCTAGATATTTCGCAGCTTCTCAGAATAGAATCCTGCACCATTCCTAGAAAAACAGCTTTACATTTTCCCATAATAAAGTACACAGCTTGCTCGTATACAACTTACTATGGAATACAGATTTATCCCTTATTTGCCCATCTCCAATATTGATAGCTCCTGCCAACCCTCAGAAATTACTATTTTAACACAAGTATTAAACAGAAGGCCCAGAGGCAAAAACAACAGAATCCTATTAGAAACCATTCAGGTCAATAACAATAATTTTCTGCTATGCCTGTTTTGCAAACCAATGTAATGGGTGACATGTTGTTCTAGTCTCTTTTTTAACGTCAAAATAGCTCACTGTACCAAGTCA